CCTAAACCCTAAACCCTAAATTGCACTTAAAAAAAAGCCTAAACCCTAAACCCTAAACCCTAAACCCAAAACCGCCGAAGGCTCGAAGAGCTGCAGCGCTCCCTCGACCCAGCAGCTGCCGAGGCGCCCCGCGGAGTTTTGGGTCGGACCAAGAGCTAATAGAGGGTTTAAAGTTTAGGGTTTAGGAATTAGGGTTGAGGGTTTAGGGTTTAGGGTAGAGGGTTTAGAATGTAGGGTATAGGGTTTAGGGTTTAGGGTTTAGGGTTTAGAATTTAGGGTTTCGGGTTTAGAACTGAGGGTTTCGGGTTTAGAATGTAGGGTTTAGGGTTTAGGGTTTAGAATTGGGGGTTTCGGGTTAAGAATGTATGGTTTAGGGTTTGGGGTTTAGAATTTACTGTAGGGTTTCGGATTTCGAACTTTAGGGTTTAGAATTTAGGGTTTCGGGTTTAGGGTTTAGAATTTAAGGTTTAGGGTTTAGAATGTAGGGTTTAGGGTTTAGGGTTTAGGGTTTAGAATTTAGGGTTTAGGCTGTAGAACGTAGGGTTTAGGGTTTGGGGTTTAGAATTTAGGGTTTCGGATTTCGAATTTAGGGCTTGGGGTTTAGGGTTTAGAATTTAGGGTTTAGGGTTTAGGGTTTCGGGTTTCGGGTTTAGGGGGTTTTAGGGTTTTAGGGCTGTAGGGTTTCGGGTTTAGACGGAGAAGCCTCATATAGGGGCCTCAATAATTACCTATACTTTTTTTCGAGGCTCCGTACTATAATTGTAGCATAGTATACCCCCAAAACCCCATTGCAACTATTAAGGCCCCCTACATTAAAACAATAATTACCAATATCATCCCTTAGAGTCCCTTACTACAACTATACTATAAAAGGAAGCCCAAAGCCCTATTCTAGTCATGAAGGCCCCTACATTTAGGCCCTTCAATCCTCGCCCCTGAGCCTTAAGCTAAGCCCCAAACAGCAAACCCTAAACCCCAACCTAAGCCCTAGCCCGAGTGGTACCGGTTGTTGATATAAATCCTGCACTACTTTAAAGACCCTACACTGGAATTATGGTAAATTCGAAACCGTACCCTTGTGCCCTTTTTGCTTCCAGGGTTGCCTTTTAGCCCACGTGCCTTCAGGGACAAGGTGTTCCCACTCAGTCTTGGTCTCATTGGACATGCCTGTTCAGCACGTGCCCATATTAACTCTGCATACCAGGAAAAAGAGTATCCTTATTAGTAAGGGACACTGGAACACCTCGAAAGTGTGTGTCAACGTGTTTAGTTGGGATTTTTGACCGGGTTTGGTATTGTTTAACGGGTAGGCTATTCGGTGTGCATCCAATCCAGGCTTCAAAGCTTTATCTCCCAAGGGTGCCAAGACTGCAAAGTGCTCCGAAACCAAACTCCACAAATTAAAACCCTCTTGGCACCTTGAAAGACAAACGAGGGCAAACCCATTCCTAGGCTCCCGCGGAGTTGACCCTAAACCCTAAAAAACAAACCCCCTTAAGCCCCAAGGCCTATAAACCCTACACCCAAACCCACTGTAACCGCACATCCTCGTATTCTCAAGCTCTCGAACAGCTGCTCCAAAAGTTCCCACCAGATTTGCTGGGGCACCTTCCTGCGAAACTATGGCGCGGCGGAGCAGTACGTGGCTACAGTGGTGAAGGTTGGCATGGCATGTGGGGTCTACCTTAAGAGCCCCAAACCCACTTTTTTTGTAGGTTCTTATTATAAACCCTAATATGGGATTTATAGGGACCCTACAAAAAAGTAGGTTTTGGGTTCTTTATAAGGTAAGGGTTTAGAGGGGTTTAAGGTTTTCGGGTTTAGGGTTCGGGGCTTAAGGTTTAGGGGCTTAGGGTTGGGGTTTGAGCTTGCGGGGTTGGGCTTTACGGCCCAGATTTCGTTATGGCTTCAGGGTGGTGGACGTTTGTACAACCCTAAACCCTAAACCCTAGTTGGGATCGGGTTTAGGGTTTTGGGCTTTGTGCTTGGGGTTTCGGGGCAGTCATTCAAGATTATTTGGCTCAGGGAGGTGCCGTTGATGGTATGGGGGTTTCAGGGGTCAGGGGTCCATATTTCGGAAACTCACCAGGCTGTTCTGGGTAAGTTCTACAGCACCCTCGCCGTATACTGCTTGCAGAGGTCTATGCGATGCCCTAAACCACAAGCCGCATGGAACCCCAAGCCCTAAACCCTAAACCCCAAAGCCTAAGACCTAAAAGAGGCACTCCTCCATTCTTCCAGGATCTTTACTCTACGATCACCTGGCTGCTGGGCGCTTCGCTTCTCTACACGCTGACGCCGGCCTCCCAGCTTTTAGGTTCGGGGCCAAAGCGTAAGGTTTTGAAGTTCTGAGGCTAGAATAGGATTTTGGATCTTGGAACTGAAAGCTCGAGGGCTTAACTTGAGGTTCTTGTGCATCATCTGGGACATGATGGGGCTGGGGTTTGGAGGTTGAGATACTTTATCTTTTGGGTTTACGATCCCCAAAGGCCCGCAAAGTAGCGCGGGCTTTCTGTGATGCTTCCTGCACTATCAGAACTCTAAACCCTAGAAACCCCCTGGCCTTAAACCATTGAGGAGACTTCCCGCTTGAACTACCAATGCAAAGCCTTGCGCGCTCCGAAAGGAAGTCTCCATGCTAGAAACGTAATAGCCTCACCGCAACAACTGCCCTTGAGGTTTAAGGGCTAGGGTTTAGGGCTTTAGGGTTTGGGCTTTAGGGCTTTGGATTTAGGATTTAGGGCTTTAGGGTTTGGGCTTTAGGGTTTAAGGGTTCAGGGTTTAGGGTTTAGGGCCTACCACCAATCAATCCGACTTGAAGCAAGAGAGTGGGACTTGCAAGTCGACTTCTTCCCGGTCTACCCTAAACCCTAAACCCTAAAAACTAAACCCTAAACCCCAAACCCTAAACCCCTAAGCCAGCTCGCAACCCTTGGCGAAGCCGACGCCCTAAGCCCTCAACCCTAAACCCTAAAACTAGTACTAAGCCCCTTAGCTTAAACTCTAAGCCTTCCGTTCCCAAGCCTTCAACCGAAGCTCTAAGCCTCAAAATCGTAAACTCTCCACTGAAAACCCTGACTCCTATGGCTGAATATGGGGTGTAGTATTTCGGGTTGACGCCGGTCCCCGGACCCCAACAGGGTCGAAAACCTATCTACTCATGACGGCTCCTGTGTTGAACCCCCGCAGCCCTACTTAAAGGTTCATGGGGCTTGGTAACTAGGGTTACAAATAAGGTAACGATACTTCTAATTCCTTTTAAACCCAATTAAGGTACCTATAACTGTACTCATTAATTAAGTCCCATGAACCTCCAAGTAAATCCTAAACCTAAATCAATAAAACCCCTGGGCCCAAGAAAGTATGTCCGCTCTGGGAGGCAGTGCTTTTCGGTCTGGGTTTGGATCGACAAGGCAGTCGGACTCAGAAAGGGTTTGGGGGGCCTTTCAGATTTCTTTGCCGCGTATTCCCCAAACGCTGTGGTGCACACTATGGGGGGAGTGGGGTAAGGTTGAGGGCTTGGTTCTCAAAAAACCTAAGCCTTTTGACTCCAAGTATGGGCCGTCATCAGGGTTCAAGGTCCACCGTAAACCCTAAACCCTAAATAGGACGGGGCTAACAGGCACGGTCGAACCTCCTTTGCAATGCTCCTGTGTTCTGAGTCCCACAGCCCGAAGATCTCATGCTGTTTAAACCGTTAGGGGTTAGGTTTTAGGGTTTAGGGTTCAGGGTTGAGGTTTTAGGGTTTAGGGTATGGGGTCTGTTAGGGTTTCCCCATTATCGAACTTGAGCAGTTGCGAAAAATCTTCCTTGGGGCTCCTTACTACATCAATACGGCTAATGATACAGATCCGGCATTACCCATAATAGGGAATATACCGGAGTTCCCATAGAGGTAATGCAGGATTTATATAATCAGCAGTACCCCTATAAGGCCCCAACGCAGAACTTGGGGATTTTACGAATATTGGGACTCCTTATTGTACCCCTACTATGTATTATAAGCGCTCCCCGTCCCGTAGTCCCAGAGCCAATGGCCCAACATACAGAGAAGCCCGCCGACAATGATAACCGGGTTTGGTTTTCTTAGGGTCTACTTGGAGGTTCATGGGAATTAATAAGTACAGATAAAAGTACCCTAATTGGGGTTATAAGTATAGTTACCTTATTTATAACCCGAATTGCTAAGTCCCATGAATCTTTAAGTAGTGCCATCGCCAGGTGAATCTTGCGTGCCGCGCTCAGCCTGCTGTATCTGGGTATGCGTGCAAAAGAGGGGGTTCTCAGTGGTCAATCGCAGACACTGCCCCTGGAACCGAGGCCGATATCGGTTTACGAGCCTCGGACGCATGTGGGTAGTTCTCTAAATTAGGGTTCCTTTGGGGGTCCTTTTTACAAGGGTGCCGTACTATATTGGGGACCGAAAAAGGGACCTTAATTTAGAAAACTACCCATGTGGGGGCTTGGGCCACGGTTTAGGGTTCAGGGTTTAGGGACCCTCAGCCCTAAACCGTGGGGGCCTGGGGGTTTGATGAAGGTTTGGTTCGGGGCTGTCGGGATCACATAGGGTTTAGGGTTTAGGGTTTAGGGTTTAGGGTTTAGGGTTTAGGGTTTAGGGTTTAGGGTTTAGGGTTTTGGGAGGGTGTATTTCGGGAAGACTTACACCCCAAACCTTCGACGCTCAACATCCCAGGCCCAACTCCCAAGCCAAGCCTGCAAACCCCCAAAGCCCAAGAGCCCAAACACTAAAGTCACTAAAGGTTTCCCAAACCCTAAACCCTAAACCCTTTTTAGGGCCGGCTCGAGGTGTAAATCCCCAGATCCCTCGGTGTCCAGGTGACGTACCCCTCAACCCCAAACCCTCAACCCTGAACCCGGAACCCTAA